CCCCCCTTCGCGCCCCCTCCGCCCACCATCGCTGCCGTGCCCCCCTACATCGGGCCCGACACCCCGGCTCTGCGGACACTGAGCGAGTATGCACGACCCCACGTCATGTCTCCCACCAACCGCAACCACCCCTTCTACATGCCCCTGAACCCCGCCGACCCCCTGCTGGCTTACCACATGCCCGGCCTCTACAACGTGGACCCCACCATCCGCGAGCGGGAGCTCCGGGAGCGCGAGATCCGCGAGCGGGAGATCCGAGAGCGCGAGCTGCGGGAGCGCATGAAGCCGGGCTTCGAGGTGAAGCCCCCGGAGCTGGATCCCCTACACCCGGCCACCAACCCCATGGAGCACTTCGCGCGGCACAGCGCCCTCACCATCCCCCCTTCGGCCGGCCCCCACCCCTTCGCCTCTTTCCACCCGGGCCTGAACCCCTTGGAGCGGGAGAGACTGGCCTTGGCGGGCCCGCAGCTGCGGCCAGAGATGAGCTACCCTGACAGACTGGCGGCCGAGCGCATCCACGCCGAGCGCATGGCGTCACTCACCAGCGACCCCCTGGCCCGGCTGCAGATGTTCAACGTGACCCCCCACCATCACCAGCACTCCCACATCCACTCCCACCTCCACCTCCACCAGCAGGATCCCCTTCACCAAGGTGGGTGCCGCTCTGCATGTGACGCTGCTTCCCAGGGCTTCCATGTCCTCCCAGCGCTTAGGGCACAGGGCGAAGGGCAGCGGTGAGGGCCTTGAGGCCTTTGCAGTGAGGGACGCCCACGTACGTTGCTGAGCCAGCCGGGGACATCGTGGGTGATGTGTAGTGGGAGCTGCTGGAGGCCAGTGGACGGGCTGTCCAGGGACAGAGGCAGGCTGTGGTGCGGGTGACAGCCAGAGGGACCACTCAGCGAGGAGGGAGGGCACAGCTGGGGCCACCCCATCCCACAGAGTATGCGTGTGGGGTGCTTGTCAGGGCTGGGCAGTGGCTCAGAGGCCAAGGTTGTGTGTGCAGCACTGAGGAGAGATGCCAGAGAGCCACACCTGGTCTCTCCTTCCTAGGCTCAGCAGGCCCGGTTCACCCCTTGGTTGACCCCCTGACAGCTGGCCCTCACCTGGCTCGCTTCCCCTACCCACCTGGAACCCTCCCCAGCCCTCTGCTAGGACAGCCCCCCCATGAGCACGAGATGCTGCGCCACCCCGTATTTGGTAAGTCCTGGGGGTAGGCTGGCGGGGTCTGCTGTGGTGGCTTTTGTCTTTTGTTCATCTGCACACTGATAAGAATGGGTGTGCACCCTCCATGTGCCAGGGTCCTTGTGGGGTCAAGGCAGGCTCAGGGTGAGGAGTCCACAAGTTTGTGGGGCTGGGGGCGCCACCGGGGCGCTGGTCTACTGAGGCAGCTCCGTCCTGCCCCTGCAGGGCTGGGTCAGCCGTCCCTCGCCCGCTGCTTGTGGCTGCTGGGCTGGTGCGCTCCCAGCCCCTCTGCTGGTTACTATGTTGCCCTCGTCCTGGCCGTTCCCTGGCTATTTGTGCAGCAAAGTGTTTGTGCTCGACAGGTACCCCCTACCCCCGAGACCTGCCCGGGGCCATCCCCCCTCCCATGTCGGCAGCCCACCAGCTGCAGGCCATGCACGCCCAGTCCGCTGAGCTGCAGAGACTGGCCATGGAGCAGCAGTGGCTGCACGGACACCCCCACATGCATGGGGGCCACCTACCAAGTCAGGAGGATTATTACAGGTGAGGCAGGGGAGGTGACTGGGGGTGCTGTGTACTTGGGGTGCAGGCAGGGTCATGGGTGACATCCAGCCTGCCTGTTGCCTACCTGGCCTGATGCCTGATAGTCCTTTTTTCTTCTTTCCAGTCGACTGAAGAAAGAAGGTGACAAGCAGTTATAAGTTATTTATTTGTTAATGCTGGCTGTGGAAACTCCAATTCTTGGGGCGGGGGAGAAACAGGACTTTTTACATACAATAGGAGCTGCAAAAGCAAAAAAGAATATCTTCTAAAGATTTCTTTATATATTTAAAAAAAAACCCACAACTAAAAATGTATCACATAATAGTGTTCGTTTGTCAAGAGGATTTCCTGAGACTGGTTTGGGTCTCCTGCATGACAGTCCCCCTGAAACGTAGTGAGGAGTTCCGGACTGGGCTGGACATCCGAACCCCTGCGATATCGGGGTGGCTTTTGTTCTCTTCTTGATTTCTCCGTAGGTGCTAGAACCTGTTCACACCCTTCACTGTGCGCGCAGACACCGGGTTGCATGGGCTCCAGGCCCACGGGTTTGCAGTTAGGCAGCGTATGAGTTCGGAATCCAAGAGCTATAATTTTTAAAGAATCTTTTATTTTAATACATTGTAGGAAATCTTCATAATTTGAGAAAGTTCTGCAGCATGGCTTTTATGTCTGTAAATAAATAACTTTAGAACAGCCTTCTTTTCCTTCCACAAACTACTGTTCTATTTTTTTCCAGCCATGTCACTAATTATGAATTCCTACCAACTATTGACAGAAAACAGAGTTGATTTTTTAATAAAAAGTTATATATAATTATCCCTTTAATTAAAGGGAGCCGATGGGTGTTACTGATTACAAACAGGCAGGAGCTTGGAACTAGGTTTGGCCACAGCACGAGCATTGGTGCTGGCAGGCGGGGATGGCGTGGCGAGCACCTGTGCCCTCACGTGTGCCTGAACAAGCACAAGCCTCTCGCGGTGTGCACAGGTGTGCGGGAGTCCAGTGTTTGCTTTCCGGCCCCTGCTGCCGCCATGTCCTGTCTATGGGATAGAAAGCGCATGTGTATGTGTGTCTGGTGGTAGATTTCCTTATAGAGTCCTATGCACACATTGTTCTGGATAGATTGCCTTTTGAGTGCTCTGAAATTGCCGTAAACGGTCAAGAAAACGATTCCATGCAGATATCTCAGCACAGGAAAGACCCAGGACATAAACTCTTGCCAAAGGGAGTAGAAATCTACCCGCTGTGCGTGTCACCGTTGGGACTTCCTCGTAACGAGGCCTAAGCCCGTCGGCCTCCTGCAGACAGGCTGCTTCTGTGTGGGGGACCTGAGGTTGACGTGTTGTGGACTCTGCCTGCGTCCCTGGCCCTGGTTAGGCCCAGGCACGGTGACCCACATGGACTGGGCAGCCATTCAAGTCCCACTATGCCTCCTAGAAGCAGGAGCAGGGATCCCAGCCGTGAGCCCGCCCAGGGCCGCCGGCACCAGTGGGGCCTCTTCCCGTCCTCTCAGACTCCCAGAGCCCCTTCTGCTGTCCCATGTGTCACATCCGACAAGTGCCTGTGGGCCAGTGGGCAGCAGGGGCCCCGGCCTGGGTGCAGGGGAGGAGGCCAAAGTCGCCCCAGGCCCCAGCAGGTGCTCATTCAGCCCCGGGCTCTGGATCTGTGGCACGGCTCTCTCCAGTTTCTATCAGAACCACATTGGTTTCGATTGGGACAGGAAGGGTTGTTTGGTTTGTTGAAAATGTTTGTAGTTTGTTTTTTTGTTTCATTTTTCTCTCATTCCATTTCTGCCTTAACTTCAGTTCCCCGGGGGAGGCAAGTTCAGATTAACCCTTTGTCAGCAGACTGCCAGCTGCCTTGGCACAGGGGCATTTGCGTCCTTCTGGGGGTGGTGGCCCCTGCCCGCGCCCCCACCTCTCCTGCTCCTGTTGTCTTCCCCCTTTTGGTAGAAGTCGACACCTACTATTCAGTCGAACCTTTATCTCCTCTATTACCATGTCTCCAAAGAAGAGAAAGCGGCACGCCCCGAAGTCTGTACTGAAATCTGTCTGAAGGTGTTCTTGCGTTTTGGGCTCTCCATACCCGGTGAAGCACTGAGATTCCCCTCACACACACAGCCCGGCCCTCGCACACCGACTGCGCTTGTTTAGGAGGAGGCCTGGACCTTCCTGCTGGCTGTGAAGCCCGGCCACTTGGTTCCTTTGGATTTTCCTTCGTTTTGTTGAAGTTTGGTTTTGCTTTCTGTGTTTTGTACGTGTCTCGTTCCATGTTGTCAAGGTTGAGCTTTTCACCTTTCACTGCAGCAGCAGAGCAGAGTGTACATTCTGATTTGCTATGTTTCTATATATCTTGAAGCTAAATGTATATATGAGTAGTTCGCCATGAGATAACACAGCGTAAACAGTAGACACCCAGAAATCGTGACTTCTGTGTTCTCTCCATTTGAGTATTTTGTAATTTTTTTGAAATATTTGTGGACATAAATAAAACCAAGCTACACTACTGCACCCGTGTGGACCTACGCACTATGTCTTGTTCCTAGGGGCATGGGGGAGTCCGTTGCCTGCTGCTGTGGGAGCTGTGCTGCCTGGGAGGAGAGGTTTTGTGGGTGAATCCCTCACTCTGGGGTGTGAAGAATGTGCCCCCTGCCACTCAGGAGGCGACGCCTGCTCCTGGGCCTGGCCAGTGGCAGTGCCACAGATGGCCTGGAAGGTCTGGCTGTGGCCACCAGGGGTCAGTAGTCACCAAGTGAGTGAAGCAGCTTCTGGGAGCTGGTGACAGGTGTCCGGGGTTCTGCTGGGCAGGGGCAGAGCAGCCCAGAGCATGTGCAGTTGGCAACCTGCCTTCCAGTCTGCCAGGTCTGCCATGAAGCGGGGTGGGGGGGGTGCCTGAGGAGGTTTGTGGACCAGGTGCTGCCCAGCTTGGCATGAGCCGGTATGTCAGTGGCCCACCTGTGGCTGATGCAGGGGAGGGGCTCCTTCGCTGGGCTCACCGAGCTGTAGTGCTCAGTGGTGTGAGGGTTCCCAGCCTGACGGTGAGGCAGTCTGAGAGGTCACGTGGGCCACTTTGTAGAGGCCTGGTCAGGACCTCAGGCTGTAGGAACACGGTCCTGCTGCTGGACACGCGCCAGGGAAGTGGGTGGGGTCCGTGTCGGGGACCCCAGCTCCCCATGGTGCCCAGCAGCCACGCTGCCGGAGGAGCGGGTTTCTGCAGTGCTCAGGATGGATAAGGGAGAATGAAACAGGACACAGCGTGCTGGAATGGGGGACATCATGTTAGTGCAGGAGTCAGACAAACCCCCCGTGTTTGTCCGTCTCACCAGGGGACTGGTGACAGATACCAAGGCAGATAGGAGGGCCGGGTCCCGCAGTGTACCTGGTTCACAAGTTAGGATGTGTTATTAGATGACCAGAAAGGTCCCTGACCTAAAGAGTCACGATGGAAATGCTCCACTGACCCAGTCATTACACACCGGGCACGGGTCTGCGTGAAGGTGAGGCCATTCCTCAGGCCGCTCTAATTCAGAGGAAGCACTTCGGCATCTGCCAGGCTGGCCCCCAACAGCTGCCCCAGGCAGCCCTCGGCCCAGTGTGCCCTCTGCCCCTTGCTGTGGGCATGGAGCCCTCTTCTGGTTCTGCCACCAGTGGTGTGTGAGGCCTGGAGCTCGGGCACAGTTCTGCGCTCCGCAAAGGGGACCCTCATGTGTCAACACTGAGTAAGTGAAGGTCACTTACTGAAAGGCGGGACTGCACTAGACAGAGGTCTGCGGTGACTCCTGCCCCAGTAACAAGCCGGGTGTGAAGTCAGAAGTGTCTGGGCCTTCAGAGTCTGCCCGGGAGCTGTACAGTTGCAGGCATGGCTGCTGATGCATTAGGGTCAGTGTCAGAGCCCAGGCCTAACACGGGGACACAGGTGGAGGTGCGGGGACCTCAGCCCACAGAGCCTTCCCAGTGGCAGTCCAGGCCACAGCGTGTGCTGTTTCCCCAAGCTTCCCTACCTGCGAGGACCCAGGCATGTTCCTGACCTCAGAGCTTCCGAATCAGGTGGGACCTGCTACCAGACACCTGTGGGTCAGGCCAGTGGGCTCTCAAGCCAGGCTGAGTACCTGTCCTGCTCTGGACCATGGAGTGGGCCCTTGCCCCTGGAGCATAGAGACATGAAGAGATGCCCTCTGCTTCCCAGGGAGGCCTGGTTGGAGGCAGGGCTGCTAGGAGCTGCCGCAGTCACGCGGAGCACACGGCCCCTGGGTGTCCAGAAGCAGCCTCTGAAGAGCTCCCGCCCCCACTTCCCTGGGACCGCTGCCCTCCCTGGGGCTGTCACGGGATGCGTCTCTGATCCTCGGACATCTCCAGACCCGAGGCTCCTTTGCATGTGTGCCGTCTGGGTTCTCGGCTGCCCCAGGAGCTCTGCCAGCCCCAATTCCGGGCCTGCATCTTTGCTTCTCCAGCCCAAGGGGGCTGACATAGCAGCTGCTGCTAGGGGTGGCAATTGTTTCCTTTGGGCACAGTGGGCCCGGGCTACGGAAACTCGCTGTGTCCTGCCAGCCAGCTCTGTAGGGGCATCCCTGCTCCCACACCCTGGGCACCTCAGTGACGTGGCCGAATGGACAGATGGGTGAGTGAGTGGGTGCCCAGTGCCATTGGGTTATAGGCACAAAAGGCCCAGCTAGCTAATGGGACCTTTTACCTGGTACCGTCCAGGCTCAGTAGGAATGTGGTGTGGTGAATTAGACTCAAAGTGAGGACTGCAAGGCACTCGTTTTTAAGACCTGTCACCGAGGGAGGCCTCCTGAGGCCACTGAGCTGTGGGAAGTGGTAGTTCTGTGTGCCTGACTCCTTCCCGCTCCCGGATCCCCTCTGCTCCTTGCAGTTCCAGCAGGGCAAATGGGGGCCACTCCCGGTCCTGGCCACCAGGTGGCAGTGGTGGCAAAGCCCATATGCCTATGACCCAGGGAGGCCTGGAGCTGATCCTGGGAGGAGGTGTGGGTCTGACAAGGAACAGCAGGGGCAAAGGGACAAGTAGACAGTGACAACAGAGCAGGATGTGGGGGTGGTAGGGAAGGGGGTATTTGAGGGACAGAACAATGGCTGTGGGCCGGGCAGATGGCAGGGCCCAGGCTGCTATGCTGTGGGGAAGCAGAGGCTTTGGAGGATGGAGGTCCCTTCTCATTCTCTTGTACCCACAATGCCCAGGCTGTATGCAGCAGGCACTCAGTAAATGCTCACTGAGCAGGAGAGGCTACCTGTGGGTTCTCTCCCGGGAGCCAACCTCCCCAAAGCCCGTTCCTGCATGCCCGGGAGGTACCCACCGCAGGCCTCTGCCCGGCTTCCCAGGGGCCCCTTGGCAGTGGCACAGCATGGGCCCTGCACCCTGACCTGAGTGCGAGGAGGCCCAGGGTGTGACGTGAGTGCTGGTGCCCCCGACCCATCCCCAGCGTACCCAGGGGCGGCTGAGGGAAGGAGGGAGCTGAGCCCATGGGGCAGGGTTCCACGAGCCACTCCAGAGCACTGCACCTGTGGTGGCTGGGCCATGGGACCAGATGAGCACCAGCTCCCCTCCCATTAAACAAGGCACAGCTTTTGCTCCGGTGTAAGTGGCCTGAGGGTGTCTCAGCCAGCAGGCACAGGGCAGCTCTTCTCTCCAATGCCGCCCTTCCTCCTGGCGTGAATGCCATGCTCCCTCCCAGCATGCTCAGGGCCCAGCCTGAGAGGAGGAAGCTGCCGCCCAGGACCTCACAGCCCTGTTAGCTCCAGAGCAGCCTGCCTGCCGGGCACCGGGGCTTGACAGGCCTGTGAGACAGGATCGCAACACCTCCTCCTCACGGGGTCGGGAGGGTGGCGCTGCTGACGCTGCAGGCCTTGTGCTTGGGCACGGCGGGCTCTTTCGGGGGTCCCTGCACAGTGGCGTGTACAGGGCAGATTCCCAGTAAAGAGGCTGCAGTTGCCATTGGCATGTGGGGAATCAACATCTGTTCACTTCCAGAGCTCTGGGGAGAGGGCCCAGGACTGACAGCCAGGGAAAGTCTGGAACCACCTGGAGGCGGGGCCCAGGGCCCCAAGGAGCTGAGCCATCTGACAGCAAGTGACAAGCGACCACAGGGATGTCGGCCTCACTTCCGGCTCGGGCATAGCTGGAGGCAGGCAGAGGGGACCCAGCAATTTCACTGGGCGGGAGAGGGCTAGAGACCCTGGGCTGGGCAGGGTCCAGAGAGGCCCAAGGAGGCCGTGGTCAAGGAGGCTGTGACAGGGCAGCTATGGCCTGGAGGGGAGGTGGCCGGAGTGCAGCACAGAGGCCTGTGTCCTCTCACACAGCATGCTGATAGGACACTGCCTGGGGCTGGTGGCAGGCTCAGGACCGCTGATGATGGTGTGATCAGGGACGGCCCCCAAACACAGAGACTGCCCTGAGGTGCCAGGGATGCATAGCCTGGCCAGGCCGAGGGGCTGGTGATCTGGACCTGCCTCCCACACCGTGGCAGCACAGTCAGGAAGGAGCCTCAGGGCTCCCAGGACAGGAGGGGGTCGGAGGCCACCTGTGTCCTGGCCTGCACTCCAGGCCCTCAGTGCCCGCCAAGCTGTGACGGGTGCAGAGCTGGGGGCCCCCACAGCCCAGAGCAGAGTGGGAAAGCGTGAACAGTGTCCCCTCCACCAGGTGCCTGTGGTCCCTCGAACTCGGCAGGACTGCGCCCCCTGCCCAGCTCGGAGCCTTCACCCCGCTGGCCCTGCCCGCGTCCCCATTTGTCCCTCCTCCTCTCCCATCGGTTCCACAGGGTGGGGACTTGTTGCTCACGGCTGGGTCCCCACTCTAGGGCACAGGCTGGACACCTTCTGGCTCATGGGTGGATGGATGGGAGTGTGTCCATCTCCCTGTCACTGACAGAACCCCTGAGACAGCAGGAGGGAAGTATGCTTTTCACTCAAGGTGTCAGTCCCTGCTCACTCGGCTGTATTGTTTTGGACCTGTGGCGGCACAGGTCACCAAGGCCATGCAGGAGGCTGCTCAACTTGTGGCAGCCAGGAAATAGAGGTGGGGCCTCCAGGTCCCCAGCGACCTCACTTCCTCTGTGAGGCCTCACCTCCTGAAGGTCCCCCCACCTCTCAATGCGCCAGGGGCTGAGCGCCAAGCGTTCAACATGGGCTTTTGAGGGATATTTCAGTTCCAAACTACAGCAGGTGCGAGGAAGGGAGGGATAAATGGATGGATGGACAGAGAGATGCACAAAGGGTGGAAGGAAGGAAGGACGCATGAAGGGTGGGTGGACAGAAGAGTGAGTGAGCGGCTGACGAACTGTACACTGCAACCCGCTACGGTTCAGAGTGTGTGGTCCAGTGAGACCGGGCTCTCCTTCCCTCAGCACCGCTGGCCTCTGGGGCTCCATAAGTCTGTTTAGGGGCCATCCTGTGTGTTGTGGGGTGTTTGCAGCATCCCTGGACAGTAAATGCACCCTGCCGAGTTATGACAGTCCACCGGGGATAGGACAGGAAGGGGCGGCACCATCGCCCAGCAGTCCCACCTTCAGTCTCCCGCCCGAGTCCCAGGAGAGGAGCTTTGGCCTCTGGCCTGGCACCCTCCGAGAGCTGCAAGGAGCCCCAGGCTTTGCTGCTGTCCTTTATTTTACTCAATATTTACATTCAGCAGGAGCTGGCCCGGGGCCTCCCAGGCACGGGCACCAGTCCGGAGTCAGGCGCCGCTGGGCAGTCAGACGTTCAGCAGGAGGGGCTGGTGCTCTTCGTCGCCTGCGTCCCCAGGGGGCATCTCGTAGATGACGAACAGGGAGGAGTACACACAGCCCAGGAAGGACACGAGGCTGGAGAAGTACATCACCCCACTGGCGCTGCCCACGGCCGAGGTCAGCGGCCCCAGGACCAGGGAGACCAGGATCTGGGCCAGGAAGTACTGGCAGCTCAGCAGGGAGATGTCCATGCCCATGCCACGCCGGGCACCATCTGCGCCGGACCCTGCGAACTGCCAGAGCGGGGACACCTCAGAGCCAGCTGGGTGACCAAGCCCACACACAGCGGCCCCCTGGCTCTCAGGGTCATTTGAGGCTTCGGCCAGGAGGTTCCGGTGTTGGTGTTCAGAGAAAGGACACGAAGGATCTGTGGCCAGTGGGGGCATCTGTCTCTCCCCCACATGCACACCCGGCAGGAGCCCTGCCCTGCCCACCTCCCTGGGCACCAGGAGGGAGGAGCATGGGCCCTCACCCAGTGGCTGCTATGTGGCGGGTCGAAGCCACCCAAGGACACCTGGGTTCTGTGCCGCTGGTGATTTATGTGCAGGCAGCCAGGCCCTCCAGGATGTCAGCCCAGGGCCTTCTCAAGGGCCCGCTGTGTCGGGGAGCCTAGGACCCCTGTGGCCACACCCAGCTGGAGGCCTTCGGGGCACTTCCTGTGGGCACTGGGCTGCATGAGATCGGGGTGCGCCCATGGGAAAGGGCATGCATTGCCCCAGACAGGCTGTACGTGTCCCTCCCGCCCACTGCATGGGAGGGGACCCAGACCGGGAGCAGTCACAGTCACCACCAGTCAGCAGCCCTGTCCTCCTGACCAGGTACCTGGCGAAGATTTGCTCTTCAAGGGACCCCAAACTCAGGCTGGCCGAGCTGCTCAGACCCCAGGGGCCAGGATGGGGCAGGGGCAATGGAGAGCAACCAAATTTAAAGGGGTGCCAGGCACTCAGCAGGGAATTATTTTCCCCCTTTTTCTTTCAACGCTGCGAACTGAACCCGTGCTTGCTAGGCAAGAGACAAGTGCTCTCCCGCTGAGCTATATCACAGCCCTTCTATTGACTTATTTTGAGACATAGTCTGGTTAAGTTACCCAGGCTGCCCTCTAGTTTGTGACCCTCCTGCCTCAGCCTCCTGAGCAGCTGGGATTATAGGCATGCACCACCATGACCAATGGAGCAACTGATATTTTAATGCAGTATTTAGGAGTTTCAACGTTGTTGTAAAAAAAACCTCATGGTGCGAACACATGTCTCTTAATCCCAGCACTCAGGAGGCTGAGGCAAGAGGATTGCCACAGTTTAAGGGCATCCTGGGCTAAATAGAGAATTCAAGGCCAGCCTAGACTACATAGTCAGACCATGTCTCAAAACAAAAACAGGGCTGGGAATTTAGCTCCGTGGCACCACACCTGCCTTGCAAGTGCAAGGGCCTGAGTGTGAGCCCCAGTACCACACACACAATTCATGGTGGGAATGCTCCTGGGCCGTGAAAAGGGATGCAGTGTAGACACAGGCTTTGCCCAGATAGATGGGCTGAGAGCCACCGAGTGGTGGCTTCTGTGTGAAATGTGGCTGGGAGGCTGCCTGGGGTGCGTGAGAAGGCCGATGGCTGAAGGTTTCTCGCTGGGGTGACGCAGGCCTTGGAACTGACTGCAGTGATGGCCGTACAACCTGGGCACTTAAAGCCCACTGCGCCACACGCCTCCTGCACTGGAATTCAGGATGTTGCCGCTCACTGAGTAAGATGCAAAGGGCACAGGCAGCTTCACCCTCAGACTGCCAGCGCTCAACATGGTGCTGCTACGAAGGTGTCGTAGCATGGACATTTGACATTAGCTCTGACTTTTCCTTTTTCTTTCCTGTACATGTGTGTGTGTGTTGTACTGGGGGATGAACTCTGGGCCTTTGCACTGAGCAACATCCCCAGCCTTTTACTTTTTACTTGGAGACAAGGACTTGCTAAATTGCTCAACCGCCCAGGCTGACATCCCATTTGAGATCATCCCGTCTCAGCCTCCCAAGTGCTGGGATTATAGGCATATGCCTGGCATTCATCGAGAATTTTTAAAGGCCCAGTTAACACACCACTGGGCTTGGCTGCCGAGGTTCTGGTGGCTCAGTCTGCCATGTGGCCTCCCCTCCCGTGTCCCAGCGGAGCGGGGTGGCCTGGAGGTGGCTCTGGGGGCACTCACCGCCTTGCTCTGGTAGTAGTCACAGAGCAGCGAGTAGGGCAGCGTGCAGAGCGTGGAGAACAGGACCCCGTAGGTGGTGCAGAGCGACAGGATCACGTAGAGGTTCCTGGACAGTGTGGCCAGCCCGGTGCCCAGACCAAAGGCAAGGTAGGCGATGAAGTAGAGGGTGCGGGTGCTCAGGCAGCCCTCCAGCTTCTCCAGCAGGGCTGTGGGTGGGCAGGCGGCAAGCGGGTGCATGGGTCCCTGCACCACCCCCTGGGGCCCGGGCCAGCTGCTCGGCCCTGACCAGGAGGCACCTCAGGGGCTGCAGGACCTGGGCCTCGTCTGCCCGGCCCGCAGGGCCTGCTGAGGCAGGTGTGTGCTCCAAGCTGCCCTGTACCCTGGGTGGATCCCGTCCTCTCGCTGACAAGGGACACTGCAGTCGTCCCTGGCCGGTGTCACCTCAGCCCGTGATGGTGGGACAGCGTAGGTCAGGAGGGACAGATCCGCCACCCCGCTCCTGAGGCCACTGAGCACACACTGCAGAGCCACCCGGTGACACGTGAGCGATAGCGAATGGCTCAGGGGAGCCCACGCCTGTGGTTCTGGGCGCCGACCCAGGGCCTAGCACGTGCCCAGCAGGGCCTCCCACCACCTCAGCAACCCCCCAAGTGACAACTGTCTCCTTGGGCTCAGCCTCACTAAGGGAGCAAAACAAAAGTCACCACTATGGCCGTGGCCCGTAAAGACTGGGTAAAGACCGGCTTTCAATTTCCAGTCGAGGGGAGAGGAGGAGAAGGGCACGTGGAGATTTTCTGACACCTGCTCGCGACCAGCCCGTTCCTTGGGCCCTGCAGCTCCAGCAGCCTCCCCTCGCCCGAGGTGGCCCTGGGTCTGGGCCAGTACCTGAGTAGAGCGCGGCGCTGAAGGCATAGATGCACATCCCCCAGCAGCCCATGGCCACGCCGCTGCTGTACCTCTGGTACTCCTCCGACGCGTGCGGGGCCCTGGGGTCGCCCCGGAACACCACCTCGCCCATGAAGTCGGTGTAGAACAACAGCATCCCCTCGAAGGACAGCCAGCCTGCGGGGACAGGGGCAGTCGTGCAGCCCGGAACCCGGTGTCCGACCCGTCCCGAGCTCTCCAGCTGTTTCTCTGAGACTGTCCTGGCCACCCAGGGCACGGAAGACTCCCTTCAGTGGCAGCAAACTGCCCACCACGTGGCCCTGCCACCCTACGGCCTGGCCTGCCGTCCTGTCCCACTTGAGGCCACCCGCGACTCTGGGCTGTGAGGTCCAGGACATGGGTGGGGAGGTTTCAGGCTCTGGTCTGGCTCCCTCCCTGCCATGCGGACACTGGGGCGAAGCGGGGACGAGGGCTCCCCGGAGCTCTGCGGGGACCTAGCTGTGACACCCAGTTTGCTCAGGGACCGCTGGGGACAGCCACCAAGCCTGGGTGCCTCTCGCTGGTGCCGGGCCGAGGAAGGTGGGCAGCCCCTGAGGCCAGGCCCCGCAGGCTCACCCAGGAAGTGGTTCACACACAGGTTACGCAGCGCCTTAGGCATGTGGCAGATGGTGGCGCAGAGGCGGCGGGGTGACAGCGGCTGCTCCAACTGCTCGCTGGAGCCCATCAGCTCGCTCTCATACTTCACACCGTTGAGCAGGATGTTTGCCACCTGCAAGGATCCAAGCGCCCATCAGTGCCCGCACCATGCCGAGGAGGGGGAGCCGGCTGCAGGCAGGACCCAGACTCTGTGCCAGGTGCCTCCGCAGAGACGACCCCGGGTCCTCTCCTCTGAGAGCAGGAGCTGCCATGAAGTAGGATTTCACTTTGGGGCTGGGCCACAGGAACCCAGGGCTATGCCACACGGGAGGGCCCAACCCTGTGGAGAACAGGAAGAACCAGGGCTGGTGGCACAGGCCCGTCTCTGGGAAGCTGAGGCAGGAGGGTTGCAAGTTCAAGCTCAGCCTGGGAAATGTAGCAACTTACAAGACCCTGTCTCCAAATAAAAAATAAGAACATGGGCTGGGGATGGAGAGAGAGAGAGAGAGAGAGAGAGAGAGAGAGAGAGAGAGAGAGAGAGAGAGAGAGAGAGAGAGAGAGACTGAGAACCCTCCTCAGGGTGTGTCTTGCATGGCCCTGGACTGGGCCGATGGGATAAATTCAGCGTCTGCTGCCCAAGCAGAGCACCCCACTGGTCTACACTTCTGTTCACCTGGCCTAGGGGCTGTTGCCCTTTAAATTCTGGAGCAACAATTTTATAGAACTTGCAGTTCACAAACCCTGAAGACCTAGATTGCTCCTCCTGTAAAGCTCCTGGGGCTGCCAGGACATGGTAGCTTATTATATTTGCTTGCTTTCTCTCTGCCCCTCCCTCTTCCTTCCATCCTTTCTTTTCTCTTTCTTTCTTTCTCCCCTCCTTTTCCCACCCACCCCTCCCCTTCCCACCTCTCTCCCTCTCTTTCTCTCTCTCTCTCCCTGACAGGGACTCTGGCTGCTCTTGAGCTAAGTTCCCCCAGCTGGCCCTAAACTCCTTCCTCCTGCCTCAGCCTCCTCTTGAGTGCTGGGATGACAGGCGTGCGCTATCACACCCATGTATGTCTGTGTCAAATGAGAGAGTAACCCTCTTTTGACCTAACAGAGCCTCTGCGAAACCATGGTTCTGGACGGTGGTGAAGCCTCACATATTGGTACACTGACAAGTCAGCCTTCCGGGAGGTTCTGTGCCTTCACAGACGAGGCTGCTGCCAGGAGGGCCTGGGGTCTGTGCGGCCTCCCGGGGGTACTAGGTCAGGGACCAGCACAGTCAGGAGGCCCCAGAAATGCTGCAGGCCACACTCTGTTATCCTCTTTCATGAAGACTCAGATTTGTTGGGGACAGATTCACACACCCAAATTGACCGAAGTCTAGTTGTTGAGGGAAAGTTCTAGAAACCAGGGAAATAATTTTGTACTGTACCAGACTCACCAGAGCACAGCCCTGGCTGGAGCTGCCTTTGGGAAACACAGCAGTGTTTATGAGAGCTGGCACTTTCCCTCAGAGCCTGGTGTCCAACCACCCGATGGCGCCTAATAGGGACCTGGGGGCCCACTGTTACCTGTGACCGACTCCTGTCAGGACTGGACTTCCCACTCTGACTCTGAGGGATGCTGAGGACTACAACCCACTGTTAGGCAGGAGGTGGAGCAGGGACAAGTCAACAACTCGGGACAAGAATGGAGAAACCAGACAGAGCCAGGAAAACTATGTCAAAACATCTGAAAACCAATAGCTAAAGGTCACTCTGTCCTCCAAGACTGTCGGGCCTATGCAAACCCAAAAGTCTGCATCCAACCTCATTTGCAGTTCTGACCCCCTCCCCAGTGGGCTCTAGGCACCATGACACCTCCTCTAAAAACTCCTCCTCGTCTTGGTTTGTGGGCGGAGTCGGGCACCCTATTGGACCATGGTTCCTGTCCATCCCGTGTAGACCCTCCCACAGACCCAGTGCTGCCCCTAAGGGAGCCCTGAGTTCTTCTCCCCGGCTTCCCCCACTGCTGCTGAGGAAGCAATCCCGCTGAGACCTCCCATTTGATCGCTGTGATGGCCAGGAATCTCCTTAAAGGTCGATTCTCTTCCTTGGTCCTTTCTCTCTTTTCTTCCCCACTGTGGTACTACAGATGGAACCCAGAGTCACCCACCAATGAGCTACATCCCCAGCCCTTTTAACTTGTTTTGATTTTGAAACACAGTCTCACTAAGTCGCTGGGCTGATCCTCCTGCCTCAGCCTCCCAAGTAGCTGGGATTGCAGGCATGCACCACCATGCCTTGCCTCCTTCATCATCTAACTTTCATCTAACTGCAGCAGGGGGTCGCTGAGAGTCTCCTCCATGGCTTTTACCTGTTGGCTGAAGGTCACGTTCCTCCTCCTGCTAGTTTCGGGCCCGCCTCCCCCGGCTGCATCAGGGAGAGCCAAGGTCTGGGGTCTCTTCAGGATGCCAGAGGCACGCGGCTTGGGGGCATCCAGAGAGCCCACCCTCAGCACGTCCCCATCGCCGGAGGCCAGGCTGCTGTCCCTCCTGTCCAGCAGCCCCCGATCCTGGTGGTAGAAGCCTTCGGGGGCCCGGGGGAAGCTGACGCTGATGGGCTGCGGGGGGACGCTGCTGGGGAGGGCCAGGTAGTTGTCGTGGGCCCCTGTGAAGCAGTCAATGAGGACGCTGTCTATGTTGGAGGTGCCGAAGGAGGACGCGAACTCGTTGATGCCCGTCAGGGAGCTGTCCCGGCTGATGAAGCTGCCGTACTTGGGCGTGAGCGGGCTGGGCGGGGAGATGGGCATGGAGAAGCTGGCGTACAGGCTGGTGGCTGCGTGGGCGGGGACTGTATCCCCAGCGGCCTCCTCCTGCGGGACAGGCGGGGACGGGGGCAGCGGGAGACTGGGGCTCTTCATGGCCGGCCTCTTCTCGCCCAGGGGCCGCAGGGGCCGCTCCGGGATACTGATCAGCGTCAGCACGGTGGAGACGCTCAGGGTGACCGCGGTGAAGATGTAGATGACCCGGAGCTGGCCCCCCAGCGCACGCCCGAAGCCGGTTCTGTCCCAGTGGATCCCGCCGACCACGTAGCCGAACCCTCCTCCCAGACCTGGGGAGAGAAACGGGGCGTCAGCACCCACGCGGCCCTGCTCCCTGCGACAAGGACAGTAAGTGGCCAGGCACGCCAGGGGTCAGGGCCAGTGTCTGGCCTAGGCACACAGAGGGGTGGTCACATCTGTCCTTCGAGGCCCCACTGGCTTTGGTGCAGCTTTGGCAGTGGCTGTGGGGCCGGCACCTTCCTGAGCGCTCCCCTATTTCGCTGTTCACACACCGGCCAGCGTGCCCCCGTGTGCGTGCATGCCTCCCTGCACACCTGCATGCACACACGACACAGTTTGAGTCCTGTTCTTTGCAGGTTCTGGGCTTGGGGACCCAAGACCTTGTGCTGAGCATCCTGCTGTCACCAGGGGGCTGAAGAGGAGCGGCCCCATGGTCCCCACGGAGGTCCCTGGGGCAGCGTGGGCCTGCTCCTTTGGCTTTTATGCCACGTCCTTATGTGCTTGTGTCCTGTGTGCTGCTGCATTTTTTTTTTTCATTTTTGCTACTGTTTCACTGCCTGGAGGCCCCGAGTTATGCAGAAGGGCCCAGTAGAGGGAATGTGTGCTAGACAGCTTCACATGCGTGCACCATGGTGCTGCGGGCTGTGATAAAGGTCCTTCAAGCCAGGCATGGTGGTGAGGCTTGTGATTTCAGTACTTGGGAAGCTGAGGCAGGAGGATCGCAAGTTAGAGCCCAAAGCAGACAATGTAATCATCTAGTGAGAGACCACATCTTCAAATAAAAAGGGCTAGGACTTAGCTCAGCATGAAGACCCCGGGTTCCACAAAAAGAAAGAAAAGGGTCTTCAGGCAGAAATTCATAAAACAAGGCTTTGATGGGCTTGATAAAAACACTGGGATCAGAGGCTCACAGAACGTAGCTCTGTTTCTCCTCAGAACAAGGGTCCCATGTTTGTTAATTCAGGTTAACTCACATTAACTGAATTTGTTCCATGATTCTGGGGGAGAGGGCTACGGTTGTGTTTGAGACCCAGTGTGGAGTTTGGGAATGGAAGCAAAATTTTGTCAAATGCTTCTGTTTGAGAACCAAATTGTTCACAAACAGAAATGTTCGTGAACCCCGGTATTACTGTACATACATACAGCTGTCCCCAGTCCGCAGATTCTATACTCTTGGGCTGAACATACTCAGAAAAACATTGTGTCTGTTTCACATGAGTACAGACATCTTTCCTCATTATTATTTCCAAAACAATACAGTAGAGCAGTCTTTTGCATAGCATTGCTTAGAGGTTAATTAAAGTACCATACCTAGGGGGCCGGGGATTTAGGTTAGGGGTGCTGCTGCCTGCCTTGTAAGTACAAGGTCCCAAGTTCGATCCCCGGTACCGAAAAAACAAAACAAAACAAAAAAGTACCATACATAGGAGGATGTGTGTAGGTTACCTGTAGATTCTGGGCCTCCCTTCCTCCCTCCCTCCCCCTCCCTCCCTTCCTTCCTTCTTTTTCTTTCTCTCTCTCTTTCTTTCTTTTTCTTTTTTTGAGATAGGGTCTCGCTGTTGAAGGGCTGGCCTTGAACTCACTATGTAGCCCAGGCTGGCCTTGCACCCACAGTGATCCTCCTGCCTCAGCCTCTCGAGTGGTGGGATTACAGATGTGCCACAGCCAATTTGGGCCATTTAAATAAGAGAGTTGGGCATTTTTGTATTTGCAGGAAGTCCTGGAACCCATGTCCTATACACACATGGAGGCACAGCCAGACACACTCATTACACACGCAAGTGTATGCATACTGAATGTTACTGTCCAGGCACAGTGTTTGAGATATTTTTTTCAATCACTTCCATGTTTATCAATATATTTGAATTATATCCATCAATTTATTTTATCTAGCAGTACCAGGGATTGAACCCAGGGCCTCTGCACTGAGCTAGGCAGGGTTTCACTAAGTCATTAAGTTGCCCATGCTGGTCAGGCTCAAACTTGTGACCCTCCTGCCTCAGCCTCCTGAGTGCTGGGATTACAGGCCTGTGCCACCACGCCATGTTCCACTGACTTAGTTTTAAATCACAGGTGAGGAGGCGCCCCCAAGTGCATGCCCCTGACAAGCACAGCCCTCAGCCCAGTGCAGGGGACACTCACCAGCCAGGAGGGCGTGGATGTTCAGGCCGCGGTCCTGGTCTGCAGGGCCACACACATCCATCATGTAGGCATGGCTGGGGTTGTCCGCAGAGTCGGCGCTGAAGTCCATCAGCACCACACCGCACACGGTCAGCAGGATGCCCCATTTGTGGCTGGTGGCTGTGTCAGCCAGGGCTGCGCCAATGTCCCTGCCATTTAGCAGGAGTGAGAGGCCCAGTAGCGCCCCTGGAAACAGAGAGATGGGGTCACTGAGTCGAGCCGACCGCAGGCTCCCGCCTGGGTCCGCTGCCTGCATCTGGACCCCAGACTCAGAGTCGCTGGTGCAGGGCCCGGGAGGAGTCACCTGCGGACACATGTGCTGTAGACAGGGGCAGGGTGGGCTTGCAGTGCACAGAGCAGGAAGGAGGTGGGCTTCAGGAGCGCATTTTTAGAAACTGCAGTGCTGGAGCCTGAATTTAGGACCTCTGTACCAAGCTGCATCCACAGCACTTTTTTATCTTTTTATCTTGAGACAGGGTGTTGCTAAGTCGTCAAGTTGCCCAAGCTGGGCTCAAACTTAGAATCCTCCTGCCTCAGCCTCCCAGCGTACCAGAATCACAAGCATGTGCCACCATGCTCAGCTTTAACTCAAGAAAAAAAAAAAAAAAAGATCAAAATGATTTAATCTTAGGGTTAACTCAGGCTTGAGCTGGGGGCTCCTTGGCAGCCCAAACCTGAAGGCCTTGAGTTACCAGAACACCTGAGTTAGTCAAGAATTTTTTTTTTTTTTTTTAGATTTTCTTCAAAGGAAGTAGTTGAGGTTTTCTTTTCTTATTTTCTTTCTTTTCTCTCCTTTTTATCTTCCTTTCTCCTCCCCTTCCTTCTTTCTGCCTGCCTGCCTTTCTCTTTTCCTTTTCTTTTTTTTTGCATTTTATGTCCATGCCAAAACAGACCTATCGCCAGGACAAGAATGAAAGGGCGTCTCCTTCCAAACCTTGAGGTACACCGGTCACTCCAAGCACCCAACAGAGGCTGCAGCAGGAACCCTGAAACAGAGCAGGCTGGGCTCACTGGCAGGTACCTTGGCACCTGGGGACACACAACGCCTCACTGTGTTCCCGAGACTTCTGCCCACCTACACCCCGGAGATTCAAAAGCATAAGAGTCTGGGAGGACTCAGAGTCGTCAACAAAACATTCACTCAGCATCTCCCTCAGCTTTCTCCCTTGGATCCTAAAGGCACTAAGCAGCCAGGACCTTCCTGGGGAAGACGTGAAATTCTAAATCCTCTGAGACCCAAATCCCACTGAACTCTGTCCCTTGGATTCTCCAATAACTGGAATCCAAGATAGAACTGTCCTTGGGATGGCTCAGTTCCCATTCTGTTGCCTGCTTCAGATAAAGGAGCTTAAAATATAGGATGGAGGGGCCATACCTGTTTTCCTACAGCCCTACACTAAGTGACCTTAACCCTTTTTTCTTCCTTGCTGTCAGGACCTCAGATTACTACCTGGAAGCTTCTGGAATCACCTGGAATCTTCCAGAACCGTCTGGAATCTTCTAGAAGCTTGTGGACTCATCCAGAGTTTTCCAGACCATACGCCTGGGGCTGAGCTGGGGCTTACCGAGGATGGGGCTGATGAACCACACCAGGCTGTAGAGCTGGTCGGGGAGGCCCATCTGCAGCAGCACAGGTGTCACATATGCCGTCTCCATAGCATAGCTGAACTCGATGCCGAACAGGACACAGCCGTTGAAGAGCAGCTCCCGGAAGGATCTCTGGGGGTGCAGGTCCCCAAAGTCCACCCGTTCAATGGGACAGGGGGTGTTGGGTGGTGGGGGTGGGGAGGGCCGGATGCATTTCCTCCTCTTGGGGTGGCGTTTGAAGTTGTTGGCCCGGTGGCTGATGTGACGGGTCACTGAGCCCGAGTAAGCCGAGACCTGCGACCTCCAGAAGTCCTGGGGAGCCATGCCGGGCAGGAGCGCCTCTCCTGGAGGGGTGCCACTGGCCGGGGGGTTCATGGCAGGGGGTGCTGCTGGGCGTCCCTGCGAGGAAAGCCCGGGTAGGCGACAGTTACTCTGCCGGGGCCCACGCCGCAGCAGGGCGCTGTGGCCCTAGTTTTCCTGCCACGCGAGAGGAGCTGAGGTGACCAGGCCTGGTCCCCATCAGACACCCGAGGAGACCAGAGGGATGATGCTGTCTCCAGCCTGGACAGCAGAGCCCAGAATCTGGGTCCCCACAGGCCCTCCAGGGGGCTTGGACAGGCCCCATGGGAGCAGCCACAGCACGGCATTTCTAGGTCCCAGGGGCCAGAGAAGGGGGACAGGAGGCGGGAGCCACCCTGAGGGCTGGCTCACGGGAGGGCCACCTGACAGGTGGAAGTCACGGCAGACCCCAGTCTATAGTATTCCTGTTTACCCCTCTGCAGGAGGCCCAAGCCTTTTTCATTTTTTTGGTGGTACTGGGGATCGAACCCAGGGCCATTGCACTGGGCTACATCCCAGCCCTTTTCAGTTTTTATTTTGAGACAAAGTCTCACTAAGTCGCTAAGTTGCCCCAGTTAGGCTTGAACTCAGTGATCCTCCTGCCTCGGCCTCCCAAAGGCTGCCACTGTGCCTGGTTCTTGGCTCAACGGCCGAGTGGGCTGAACACAGGCCCTCCCCCGTCAGCATCACCTAGACCCAAGCCACATTCAGAGAGAAATAGGGCTGAGGTAGGGCTCAGTGGTAGAATGCTTGCTTACTATGCATGAAGCCCTGGGTCCCTAAAATACAATGAAATGAATCAGAAAGGGATGAGGAACAGATTGCCCCAACCTTAATGTATTTATTTTGAGTGACTCTGGCCATGACCTAGGTGGGTGTGGGCAGGTGCTAAGGCCCCTAGCCCTCCCTCCAGCCCTGTACCCCTCCGTCCCCGTCCCCCAAACTTGCAATCTGTGCCTCTGACACCTGCTCCTGAGCTCCCCGTCGCCGGCCGCTACTGTGGAACAGTGTAGATCACAAACCCCAAAGGAGCAGGTCCCATGCTTTGCTCGCCCTCTACAGTGTCCACTTCCTATGCCCAGGGACAAGAAAGCCACTGAGACTGAAGGAAGGGGTCAGAGCTGGACACAGAGCAGGAGGCCCAGGCCCGGCCTGACCTCTCGGACACAACCCACTGTCCGCGCCACAGAAAAGCAATGGATGACATTCCTGGGAAGGGAGCCCAAGCCAGGACAGTGCCCCAACATCCAGAGGTTTGCCGATGACAACAGTCATCGTTTCCCAAGGTGAATGGGGTAGGCTTTCTTGCAGAGTTCGTCCGAAGCTTCAGACGTAAGCCTTATGTTTGACATCTATCTCCTTGTCTACTTTCCATGACAGTGGCTGATGGGTGACCTCTTTCTGAGTCACTTTGATATTTCACACACCGAGTCGTACCCCAGACTCCTTCACGCCCCTAGCGACCCTTCAGAAGATGCCAGTGATAGAGATGATTGGGTCTGGACACACCTTAGCAAGATTCAGAACAGGAGGAGTAACTCTCCATTCATCCACTATCATCCACCACCCACCCGTCCACCCAACCATCCGCCCACCCACCCATCCGTCCTTCTGTCCACCCACCCGTCCATCCATCTATCCGCCCACCCACCCGTCCATCCACCCATCCGTCCTTCCTCCCTTGCCTTCATTTATGCAACCATGCATCTGTCCATCCTGCACACTCACATTCTCCTGCCTATCCATCCACTTCCTCATTTTCCAAGACACTGATACCACAGAGATAAAATAAAGACATAGTTCTTATCCCCAAAATAGGTGAAAAAGTGGAAGAAAGGGGTTCTAATGGAAATCACTCATATAAAAGAGAGATGAGGAGGACACTCATTTGCGGTGCACCCCCGTGATCCCAGCACTCTGGGAGTGGAGGCAGAAGTTCAAGTCCAGCCTGGGCAACTTAAGAGACTTAGCGAGACCCTGTCTCCTAAAAGGAAAAAAAGTTCAGCACAGAGGTTCAGTCCCCCAGTGGCGCGCGCACGCATGCGCAGAGGTCAACCAATGGGCGCGCGGTGTGGAGCGCCCCAGCTGCAGGAAGGTTCTGACTGCTGACGCGGGCCCTGCAGCCGGGCTAAGAGAGGAGCTCTGCCCCGAAGCGACAGGGATGGTACAGCCAGACTGCTGTCACTTCTACACACGACTCATCTTGTGACCTTAGAAAAATGCCACTCTCTCCTGTAAAACAGGAACAGATGGACCTAAGCGATGTGTCGCTTAAAGTACAATTCTCTTGGGGCTGCACCAAGACCAATTGTTTCAAAAAGCCAAGCCTGATGTTTCTCATTCATCTAGCTCGGGTGCTGGCAAGGCCCAGGTCACCGCCGTGTGCCTGGGTCCTTCATTCACTCAGGCCCAGAAATGGAGCCCTGGGATCTCGCTGACCTGCCCAGTCTGGCCTTAAACTTGCAACCCTCCCGCCTCAGCCTCCTGAGGACCTGGGATTACAGCTGTGCGCTGCCACAGCCAGCAAGAGAGGCTTCTTGACCCTACTAAAGTGGAAATGGACGGCAAGTAGCCCGCGTCTACATTCTGCCTACATTCTGACAGGTCTGCTGCGGGTTCCCAGCCAGCGGGAGGGAGGAGCGGGCAGCCAGCCGGACGGAAGCCTCTGCTAAGGGTCGCCTTCGATGTGACGGTCAGCACTGCCACTTTATTCAATAATATGTGTATTTATTTATTTATTTATTTTGGTACCGGGGATTGAACTCGGGTCCTTGCTCTTGCAAGGCAGGCCACCGAACCGCTGAGCTAAATCCCCGGCCCCTATAAGATGTGTATTTAAATAAATTAATATACATTCTAGAAGATATAGTTACTTTTAAGGAATATATTCTAAAAGACTAATTTTAAAATTTCATTTTCAACTTTACCATAGAATAAGTGAACCTGAACCCTAAAACAATGCAGTGGGACCCTAACTCACTAACACTGACGTTAGCCGTGGTTATCACACTAAACGAACATTTACTTCATCAAAAGAACGCATTCACATCCCTGTCCCCTCTGGCAGCTCCACCAGCACCTACTGCGCTTCCATGAAACCGAGGGTTTTAAACGGAGCCCAGCTGGGCATGGTGGTACACTCCAGGAGGCTGAGGCAGGAGGAGCCCAAGTTCCAGCCCAGCCTGGGCAATTCCATGAATTAGCAAGACTGCGTCTCAAAAAAAAAAAAAAAAAAAAAAAAGGCCTGGGGCTGCGAGGGGGCCCTGGGCTCAATTCCCAGTACGGCCAATCCGGAATAAAATAGAAATGGATTCTTCAAACTGTTATAAATGTTTCAGTAGCACACGATTAATAAAAATAAGCAATGTTCACCTAATTTGAATGCTTAAAACGATCCTACTGGGATCCAAAACCACTTCCTGGTCTCTTCTCCGCCCCTCCAGGTGAACCTGCTTTCTGCCGGAGGTCTTGGGGGACTTCCCGGCCGGGTCCCCCAGCTTGGACCCAGGGTCCCAGGTCCCTCAGGAGCTCGGCGGCGGCTGGTGTCCCCCTCGCCCGGTGACTCGGGAGGGCAGGGAGGTGGCAGCTGGCGACACTGCGGGC